CAAGCAGTTGTTGAGAGGAAAATGTGTAGTATGCAAAACGAAAAAATGCAAAATAATTCCCAATTCAAAAAGTGGAGGTACTTTAAAATCCATCAAACCCTCTACCAAAGAAACTAAAAAATCGGAAATCAAACTAGACGATGCATATTACAACCCTGAAACTGGATTTTGTGGAATCAATGAACTACAAAGAAAAACTAAAAAGCCAATTGAAGAAGTAAAGCGATTTCTGAACGAGCAAGACGTCTACACTCTTCATAAACCAGCTCGTAAAAATTTCAAATCTGAAAGAGTTTATGTTCACAATATTGATGAGCAATGGCAATCAGATCTTGTTGAAATGATACCGTATGCAGAAGAGAACAACGATTTCAAATATCTTCTCACTGTCATAGACTGTTTCAGTAAGTATGCCTGGGTTATCCCTCTGAAAACAAAGACTGGAAAGGAAACTGCAAGCGCTCTACAAACGATTTTCAAACACAGGAAACCGCAAAAAATGCAGACTGATAATGGAAAAGAATATTACAACAAAGAAATGAAACTACTGTTCAAAGAATCGGATATTCATCATTTCTCAACATACTCGAACAAGAAAGCTTCTATCATTGAAAGATTCAATAGAACTCTAAAAGAAAAAATGTGGAAAATGTTCACTCATCAAGGTGATCATAAATGGGTAAATATTCTGGATAAGCTTGTTACAGGATACAATGACCACCATCACCGCAGCATAAACATGTCTCCTATTGAAGCATCCAAGAAAGACAACGCTGAGCAAGTTTATGAAACTTTATTTCCCTCAACCGGAAAAGAAATGTTTAAAAATGAAAGTCCTATAAGAAGCAAGTTCAAAATAGATGATACAGTTAGAATAACAAAGTATAAAGCTGTATTTGCTAAAGGTTATCTACCTAACTGGAGTACAGAAATGTTTAAAATTTCAAAAGTTCATCCCGGAGACGTTACTACTTATTCTATCAGAGATCTAGCAGACGAAGAAATCACAGGAAAATTTTATGAGGAAGAACTCACACTCTACAACAATGTAAAAGATGAACATAAAATCGAAAATATTATTAAACGTAGAACTAGAAAAGGTGTGAAGGAATTGTTTGTCAAATGGTATGGTTATCCCGATAAGTTCAATTCTTGGATCCCTGACACTAATCTCAATTAAACACTCACTACTTTAACTCTATTTTCTTTAATTTCAACAATATTTTCACTCATAATCAAACAATAACATTTTGTGTTTTTTACAATACTCTTTGAAAAGGAAGCTTTGATTGTGACATCAGGTCTTGATTGAATAATTCTATCATTCTGTTTGGATACATCAAATACTAACAGAGGGTAGTAGTAATAATATACATCTTCCTCCATAAAAATATAATCCTTTGTCGATTCATAGTAACTGTTTCTAAACTCTTTAGCAAAATTGTATTGTTGTACAGCATTAAACTTATCAAAATCAAATTTCAAACAGTCATGAGGATATCTCTCTGAATTTAATTCAACATAAATTTCTTCTAATCCACAATTGTCAAATTTACTAGCATTCAGATAGTTGTTATCCCTAGCACATTGAAATGCTACTACAATATATTTTATTTTGTCATATTTTGTACCCATCTTCCATGTGAATTCCTTATTACCATTAGGGATATTATAGCTTTCGAATTGTCTAGAAATGAAAGGCATTTGTACTAACTTACTGCTTTCGAAAATATTCAATAATTTATTCTGCATTTCAAGACTAGGGACAATCTTTGGA